TAATTCACGATATACGTTCGACGGTTGGCGCCGTTGCCGCGCGACTTCCGGTGGCGTGGCTCGAATTCACCTGGTAAATCGGTATCGACTCGGGCAAAATTTCTCCCTTTCCGGTTCATTTTGTTTTTCCATCGATCGCAGCTAGTAAAAATCGATAAAGATTCGAAGCGTGAATCGAAGACGCGCGGCAACATGGCGACCGAGAACGCGACGGTCAAGGCAATTGTTCATTTAAACACCTGCGCGCAATACGTATCGCGAATTCATATATATATGTGTATATATATACATATATATATATATATATATTTATATGCATATATAATTACGTTTATATATATACACATACGTATATGTATATACATATAAATTATATATATATAATTATATATATAATTGTTTTTAATATTTACAATAATATAATATACGCTTCGACGATGACATGTTCCTTGGCTAAAAACTTCGACGAAATAGTTCGCAGGTTTATCGTTCGTTTCTCTTCTATTTTCTCGTGTATCATCGCCGATGAAAATTGTTCACTTGGTAGCCTGGCACAGCTCGAGTGTCCTAGATTTATGTACAAATTACGTTTGCTCGAACGTCCCTGTTCGTCGTGAATCTCGTGATAATAATTCGTTCTTGGAGTTTGGCTCGCGACCAATCTCACTGAACTTCCGGGAACAACTTCACCACTTCACTGGGTTCACCGGGTCCCGTGACGCCCGGGGATGGACACGCGTTGTCCCACACCTGCACGTCACGCCTTTCTCACTGCACACCACGTTGGAGTTCGCATCGATCTCGCATCGAGTGCCGCTGTATTGGTTTCACTGGAAAGAGAACGGAGAAGCGTTACGGTTAGATGGGACGGTTCGTTCAACCCGTGTCACGTGCGCACACAGAAACACATCTTAGAAGAGGAACAATGAGAAGTAAATATACCTGAAATCAGACCTGGCCAGCTTTTCACGAATCTTTTAATATCTTTCTTTAATCCTATTTAATTCGTTAATGTTTCAAGTAGGTGAAAGATCAAATACAACTGTGTTACAATTTACGTTTTAACCTGTGTTCACGTGTAATGTAGCGACCGTCGAGATGAAAGGTAAAAAGATACAGTAAAATTATTCACATTCGAAGCCAAATGAAAAATATACTATGGAATTATAGTTCACTTGCAGTTTAGTTATTTCTTAACCCTGACCACGATGTGACTTTGAGTCATATTTGAACTTTTTACTTAAATTTTTTGATTATTTCTATATACATTTCTATAAACTAAAACAATAACATATTAATCAATCCTTTTATCCTCATAAGTGACTGAGAGTCACATCGTGGTATGATTCGTTATAAGGACACGTGGTATGATCAGGGTTGAATTCAATTCTTCCGAAAAAGGAACATTTTTTCTGCGACTGGGTTTCCTAGAATTTCATTGGGGAGAGTTCTCCGGCCAAGCCTGCAGGTAACTACAAACAGGGACAGATGTTGCAGCTTCCGTGTCATGGTGTGTCTGAGATATTCGGGTATCGCTGTCTCCTGTGGGTCGTGTAACATCGAAGAGCTTGAACAAAGGACTCCGTTTGCATCGCACGGACTTACCTTCTGATTCTATTCGAATGGAAACGTGAAAAAAATGTAGGTACATCTAATGTGTGGAATCGGAATACATTGTAACAGCTTCTCGCGTTTCGTTGTGGACGAGATGAAAGGATTCAGCGAGAAGAAGGCGTGGCGTTGTTGGTGCAGACTCGAACAGGTGAACAGAGAGCGCAACGAAGCAACATCAGGGCGTTTAACAAGTTAAAAAGAGAAAGGTGAACGAGAAAAGATTTACGGGACGACATCGAGAGCTCATACAAAAGAGACAGAGAATAAGAATACGGAAGTATTTGATACAGATTCAAAGAGACAGGTGCGCAGAGAGGCACACAGAGGTTTTGCTGGACAGGAAGAGTTTTGCCACTGAGACACAGAGATTTTTTGCAAGGCAACATCAGTATGTAAAAACGTAGACAAAAGGGGAAACATATGTCTGTAGATTTCACGCGGATAAACAATTGAAACGTTTCACTTCCTGCTTTAAGAACCGACGAATCCTAGATTGCACATTTAAACTTTTTACTATATACCCAATTGTTCAAAATCTAATACATCAGGTTTGTACAGACTATTTCACTGAAGCCCTCGTTAAATTCTTGTCATTCGATTTCAGATTTCTACAAATTCATTTACTATACATATGTAAGTGCTTAACTTGAATTTTATAATTTGAAATTTCATGAATATTTTAATATAGAAATATTCATACATAATATTTCTTAAATATTGTAATATAGAAATATTCATAGATAATATTTCATAAATATTGTAATATATAAATATTCATAGATAATATTTCATAAATATTGTAATATAGAAATATTCATACATAATATTTCTTAAATATTATAATATAGAAGTATTCATAAATATATAAACGCTATTTCGTAAATATATTCGCGATTATCTTAATTTCTACTTAAAAGAGGTTAAAAACGGAAAAATAATTTCATCTTTCGAGAAAATTGGATCGTCAACGGCAGGTTCGGAATCGCAATTAACTGAATTGCATTGAAATCGCGGCGGAAGAGTTGTCAGATCCAGCGGAAATTCGACAGATTCGAATTATCCGCGTGAAATCGCAGAAGCCAAAACAGTTTAACGAACGATGCCTAGATCTCGGTGCGTACCTAAAGCTATCTGGCGATTCGGGAACATGGCCGCTATGTTCTACATCTAGTCTACATACAGACTAGTGGCTCATCTGATATGCCGTACATGATATGTGATGTGCTAGTGGTGTTTTCTAGAAAGACATGTCCTCTCGTACGACCTTTCACACTTTTCCCATTCTCGCGGTCACCTTGCAAATAAAACACACTTTTCTTGTCTCGTCCAACAGCGCGACCGCGCGTGCCAGATTCCGACGCGCACCGCTAAACGATCGACCCCCGGGTAATACTGCTATCCGATTTTTTTTATGGTAAACAATGCTGAACAATCATTGGCAAGGGACAATTCTCTTTCTTTCTTTCTTTTTCTGTTTGTTATTTTTTCTTTTTTTTTGGTCATTTCTTTCTTTTCTTTTCTTTTCTCATCGGTAAACGACAAAGACTTGATGGGGGATTTCTGGAACGGACACGGATCGCGGAAAACTCGAACGTTTAGAACTTACTGTTACGTTTCTTAAGATGACGCTAGAAAGAATTCGTTTGTTTCCTTATGCAGATTAATAAATATATAGGGGATAATATTCTGTTAATCTGAAAACGAACGAGAATCTCATAATAATCAAGGCTGAACATCGATCGTTCCTGTCGGATGTCTCTTTTTCTTTCTTTATATCTCGATATATTGGAAAAGCGAAATCTTTGGTAGGACTCGTTTACGCGTAAAGAGAGATACTTGAACGTTTTGCTTAAGTCTTATAGGAGTCTAGGGACGTGGCCGAGGATCGACGGGACAAAGCTTGGGATGGAGGTCTACTGACCAGGGATATGTTGCCGAACAGCTTGTACCACCCGAACACCATCTCATTCAGGTTCAGTTCGTCCAACACGATCTGCGCGATACCCATGCACACTTTTTTCCCTTCTAATCGGCCGTAATCTCCCCACACTGCCACCTGGAATAGAAACAGAACAATATCCTTTTCATTTCAGTGTAAACATTGCGAAACGTAAATGCTGATTGCATTAGACACAAAAATACTATAATATCTTAAAACAAATTTTAAGACATGCTGAACAGCTTGGATTTATTTACACCCCTAGTATAATTTCCAGCGTAACAGTTTTCTCGTAAAGCACACAACAAATTTTTTTATTAGATACAAAAATACTATAATATTTCAAAACAAATTTTGAGACATGTTGAACAGCTTGGATTTATTTACACCCCTAGTATAATTTCCAGCGTAACAGTTTTCTCGTAAAGCGCGCAATAAATGAAACGAAAGAGAAAAGAATTTGATTAATACACTTTTATGAACACGCACCTGCAGTATGCAACCCTGACAGTTTTCCCTGAAGGTCAACGGCTGCTGGTAGAACGGGTCCAACGTTTTCCTGGCCGTTGACGTTTTCACTTTCGCGATGCACTTCTTCCCATTGACCAGGTAGACTTTCACGTAGGGTGCTACGGTTTTGTCACACGTTACACGGTTAACAGTGATTAAATCATGGGAACAATAAAGCCCGAGCAGAGCTGAAGGGACGTGTAACACGCTCGATTCTAACTCTTCAGTTCTGCACGGCACGAAAACGTATTCACGCTGTCTTAGCTTTCGCCAAAAGATTTCGTCATCCTTACGGCGAAGGTAACTGCCGGAAACAGCTTAAGCTACTACAGATTTCCAGGCCAAACTCCTTCCTAACCGTTGACAGCCCTTCACATCAAAAGCTAAGACGAGCTGAACACAACTTAACCCTTTTACGATCAGCAATCTTTAGGAAGTGTACTTCCCAGACTCTCGTAGGAAGAATTCTTAAACTGATTCGCCGCGGTAGAATAACAATAAACAGGAAAGACAAACCGAACGACGATCATCCGGCTCGGACCTAAGATCGCTAGGAACGAAAGCCTAACCGTATGCACACCTGGTATCGCTTTGCTGCCCTGTTTCGGTTTCAGATCTCTGGCACGTATCACCTCCACTTCAAGGTAGCCCTTCTTCTGCGTGAGCGAGAGCTGAATCGCGCCCAGACACCGTGCACCGAGTGCCTGTCGTCCGACCACTTGCCCGGGGCCGAGATCTTCGATGAAGTCTCTCAGCTGGCCGGTTTCGCCTGCCATTCGCAGACTCGGAGACCAACTGCAGTTCCCAAAATCACACGTTTCAATAACGCAACGTCAGCGCACTCGAGATCGGGAAACAGGGGATGAGGGAGACGGTAGGCTGAAGGTCTGGTCGAGGGGTTAGAAGGTCGGGACGGCGGTGGTGTACGGGAAAAATCTTCGTAAAACGAGAAAACGAAAAATAATT